AAAGCTACAGCTAGGCTCCGACTGTTTGTTTATGTGCGCTCGTCTGTGCACGAGTGCTGCCACCGAACGTGGGTAGTCAAGTCAGCGGGCGTACAGGCTATTGAAGATCGGGATGTTCAATGGGTCTGTCTCGTCTCTTTAGACGGCAGTGGGTGGTGCAGACTGGACAGCTGTGACGTCAACTCCCGCCACGTGACCCAAAATGTCGTCTCCTGTGCCCCTTTGGCCCGTGGCCGCCGTCTGGTGGGGAAGCGGACCAAAGACAAACTGTCTACCCGAGTCGACTCTCACGCGAAGCGACATGGACCGGTAATACAGAATGAAGTTGGCCCGGAAACGGTGTCGCCCTCCGCCGGAAATCCCGGAATCCGGATCACATCTGAACGCAGTTCCACGGGATCTTACTGGGTTCTTTGCAGGTTTTCGGGGCAACTCTGTTGACGCTGGGCAAGAGGCCAGGGGTTTGCCGGGGAGTTGCCGGGTGGTGCCGGGGTTGGGTTTGGTGAGAGGCGGACGCGGGAGTCCTTCCTCGCCTTGGATGGAAGCGGACGGCCTCTGGACGGATCCACACGCTTGCCTGTATACTTCTGAGCTTGGGAGCGAAGCATGCTATAATAATACTATTGTCACTCCCCTCATACCTTCCTCCCCATTCCCTTGTTCCCTCCACCCCAGCTCTTATAGATTTGATCCTCACAGCCTCCACGGCTTTGCATCGGGAACGGCGATTCTCTGTCGGCGTCACACGTGAGCCTCCTCCCGGCTTAACTGGCATCCAAACAGCAGGCCTGCTCCTCCTCTTCCGTCTCGTCTCGTTCCCGCTTACCCGCTCTTGCAATCCACACGCCCGCTCAAGCGGAGAGATGATCAGCCGAGCCATCTGGGCATCATCGGCACCAGCACTTCGCATCTCATCCGCAACGACCTCCTCCGCTTCCGCAGCAGCAGGGCTTCACACCACTGCTCGCGCTATGTCCGCCTCGCACGCAGATATGTTCCAAGGCGGCACCACGTCCAGCGGCATGACCGGTGCCCTCTTCGCTGGCCAGACCTCCCTGCCTCGCCTGCCCGTGCCGCCACTGGAGCAGACGCTGAAAAAGTACCTCCGCTCCACCCTCCCACACCAACCGTCCAAGGAGGCGCTCCAGGCGACCAAAAACGCCGTCGAGGCTGCGCTGAGCGGGGCAGACGCCAAGACGTTTCAGACTCTCCAGCAGCGCTTGCTTGAGCGCAGGGACAGTAAGGACAGCTGGTTAAGCGAGTGGTGGAACGAGGCGGCGTACATGGCGCCGCGGGACCCGATCGTGCCGTACGTAAACTACTTTTATAAACACCAGGATGACCGCAAGCGCAGGGACAACGTCACGCGCGCGTCCGCGCTCCTCAAGGGCGTCCTCGCCTTCCGCCGCCTCGTTGAATCCGGCCAGCTTGCGCCGGAGAAGACCAAGACCGGCCTGCTCTGTTCCGCGTCGTACCCCTGGCTGTTCAACTCGACGCGCCTGCCGCGCAAGGGCCTGGACCATGCGGTCAAGTACCCAGCCCAGTCGCACAATCACCTTGTCGTTCTGCGCAACGGCAAGTACTGGCAGTTCGACCTTGTCGACCGTGCGACCGGGCAGGAGCTCAGCGAGAAGGAGATTCAGACCCAGCTCAAGCGCATCCTCGCCGACCCAGAGGGCAAGTCGCAGGAAGAGTACCCCATCGGCGCGCTGACGGGCGACGACCGCGACAAGTTTGCGCAAGCGCGGCAAGACCTGCTCGCCGTCTCGCCGGACAATGTGCGCGCACTAGAGGCGATCCAGTCGTCCGTCATTGTGCTCTGCCTCGACAACCTCTCCCCCGTTACGTTGGACGAGGGCGCCTGGGAGCTCTGGACTGGCAACGGCGCGCGGAACCGGTTTTTTGACAAGCAGCAGCTCATCGTCTTCGACAACGGTTCCTCGGGCTACAACGGCGAGCACTCGACCATGGATGGCACGCCGACTCTCCGCATGAACGACTTTATTCTCGCCGCCGTCGATGCGGGCAAGATCGACATGGGAACATCGGCGCGCTCCGCGGCGGAGCTACCCGCGCCGACGCGCATCACGTTCCAGCTGAACGACGGCGTCCGGCGCGCCATTTCACGCGCACTGCATGACTTTAGCGCCCTGCTCGCCAAGCATGACCTCGAGGTGCTCGACTTCCAAGGCTACGGCAAGGAGGCCATCAAGGCGTTCAAGTGCAGCCCGGACGCCTGGGTCCAGATGGCAATCCAGCTGGCGTACTACAAGATGTACGGAATACCCTGTGGCACGTACGAGAGTGCTCAGACGCGCAAGTTTCTCCTCGGCAGGACGGAGGTGATCCGCTCCGCCAGCGTCGAGAGCAAGGCGTTCTGTGAGGCCATGACCGACGCGAGCGTGTCGGTGAGTGTCTCGGCGCTCAGCGTGCTGTGGAACGTGCGAGCTGTTCTCTGACGACGCCCTCCGCTCTCCTACCCTCTCCGCTGCTGCAGGACGAGCAAGCGTATGAAAAGTTCCAAGCGGCCGTCAAGCAGCACCTTGCGTACGCCAAGGATGCAGCGGATGCGCAGGGCGTCGACCGGCATCTGTTCGGGCTCAAGAAGCTGCTGCGGCCGGACGAGCGGCTGCCGGCTCTGTACTCGGACGCTGCGTTCGCCGCGACGTCGACGTGGAAGCTGTCCACGTCACAGATCTCCTCAGAGCGCTTCACGTCGTGGGGCTTTGGCGAGGTGACGCCTGAAGGCTACGGATGCGCGTATGCCATCAAGGCAGACAGCCTCACGTTCACGCTGACCAGCCTTAAGCTCAGCACACGCACACTCAAGCACTACATCAACGAGGCGTGTTGCGAGATCAGGGACTTACACAAGCGCCTCGCGACCAAGCAGCACGGCGCCGCCGGTGCGAAGCTCTGAGTTGCGATTTAGAGGCGGCTTCTGGGTTGACGCTTGATACTTGCGGTTTGCTCGGACCTGCAAAGGGAGCACAGGAGCGAGAAAGGCATCGCAGCGACGCAGAGTAAATGCTCTTCGAGCACACGTCTATACCAAAGCAAATATACATATCCATAATGCAAAGCAACAAAATGGCAAAGCATGTACATGTGCATACGATAGAGAATGGGTATGCGACGCAGCATGCAAGGCAAGGGGATCGCGAGAGAGCGCAAGCCCGGCCGCAATGGCACGGCGCTTGAGATAGGCGTGCACGGGAGCCGTTCCCCATTTCGGTTGCGCTGCCGATCGCGCAGATAAACGCTCCAAAGTGAGGGGGCATGGTTGGAAATCGTGAGATGGTCATCAATTGGCTACACTACTAGTACTACTGCTGCTGCTGCCGTCGTCTCGCGCGCTCTTTCGCTTGCTCGCGCCGCCTCCCCGTCCGCGTTATGTCGTGATAGCATACAAGGGGGACGTGCGTAAGAGGAGAGCAGGAAGGAACCAGGGGTTTGGGAGGAAAGGAGGGATCGCAAGTCTTGCTGGCCGGCTCTGGTAAGCGCAGCGCACCTGACATGGACGCGCGCGAAGAAGTTGCGGTGATGCTGAACGGCGTAGGAAGAAAGGATGAATCGAAGGGAAGAGGCAAGAGGACGTGTGCGTGTGCGTGAACGATCGAGTGTTTCATGCGAGTGATAGAAGCCGACGCCTCAGTATGACGGGTTGGAGCTCGGAGGCGCAAGCAGATGCGTAGGCCCATACAGATGGAAGCTGAGAGGAAAGGGGCGCCGTGCGAACCAATAGCTCGACGAAGCCTTTTTCACATCCCCCATCAATCGATGCAAATCGCATTGAATGATCTGCTCGATTTTATGCGACCCCATCCACATCTAGACATCTTTTTCCACCCGACCCGTTTCCCACCATCAATCCATCGCAACACCGCGCCACGCCTGCAAACCACCACATCCGCACTGCCATTTCCGTACTCATGCCGACACGGCCAAGCGCCGCTTCTTGCTCCGCACGCATCCTCCCGCTGCGGCCACTCTGCGTTCTCCCCGCGCGTCTTTCCTTCATGCCCTACGTGCTCTCAGAGAATCAGACAGTTGTTCTTCTTCCGCATCTTGACCGGCGCCGGTGCAACTGGGCAGCGTGAACGCACGAGCCGGGATGTGGGGGGGGGGATGTCAAGGGACGCAGGCGGAGTCAGCTTCTCTCGTCGACCACATGGGCAAGGCAATCGGAGGCACTGGGCGGCAACATAGCGCACTGCGCGGCACTCACGAACGCTCCTGATGGCCTCGTCGAACACTCCCTTTAGTCCCTTTTGCGTCAGAGCCGAGCACTCGAGGTACTTGACTGCGCCGATATCGCGCGCCATCTGATTCCCTTGCGGGTATGAAATCGGCTGCATCCGTCTGTCCCGAAGCTTCATGATCGTCTCTGGGTCTTCTCGCAAATCAAGCTTGGTCCCGACTAGGATCATCGGGATGTTGGGCGCGTGATGCGAGATCTCTGGCCACCACTACAGGTCGGAGCGTGAGGGAGTGAAATAGGTCAGGCTGAATGGACAGGAGGGGAGCGCATACGACGCGGAGCAAACGCACCTTGGTTCTGACGTTCTCGAAGCTGGGAGGGCTGACCAAGCTGAAGCAGATGAGGAATACGTCCGTTTGCGGGTACGACAGTGGTCGTAGGCGATCATAATCTTCTTGACCTGCCGTGTCCCAGAGACCGAGACTGACAGGCTTGCCGTCAACCATGACACCAGCAGAGTAGTTGTCAAAGACTGTCGGAATGTACTCGCCCTATTTGAATGAAAGAGAACCAATTTGCGCAAATGAGAGTGTCGAGCATGTGGGAAAGAAAGAAGAGGAAGGCCAGTATCAGTCTATGAAGCTTCGTGACATCCGATGGTGCAAACGTAGAGGCACGCACGGGGAATGCATTGGTGGTGTAAGAGATGAGCAGGCACGTCTTTCCGACGGCACCGTCACCGACGACGACGCCTGTTTCGGTACGGACGAGGTTGTAGTGAGGATCGCAGCAGGCAGGAGAATGGAGCGTGGGGTAACGGGCAGTGGCGGCGCGCGAGTGACAAAGAGAAAATGAGGCACCCGTCAGCACTGGTACCACAAACACACAAGCATCCGGCTCGGCTCACATTTGATGGTCTGCATGACGGATCAGCACTTGGATACAGCTGAATGGCCGTCGGAGATATGTACTAGACGAGGGAGTCAGCGTCAACCCTGCTCAAGCTCTGACCACAAGGAGGAGATAGAGAGGCAAGGCAGGAGTATCTCGAACGTCCGCGCAACATCCTTCATCTTGGCATTGAGGCTGCGGCCCTGGACACGCTGAACGCAACACGTCTTGGGCGACTGGGCTCACGCGGGCCTCGCCCGTGTACCACAGACCATGGGCCGCAAGCTCTTTACTGGGTGGGCTTCTGTGCCCGCGCTGAGCAGCGGGTCCAAGCGCCCTGCGCGACGTGTGCAAGCGCGCGTCATCGTCGTTTGGCATGTGCCCACCATCTGGACGGCGCAAACGTGCCCCCGATTGAACCCCCCTGTAGATCCGAGCGCGGCGGCTCTGCTCTGCGCTTGCTTACCTTGGAAGGGGGGGGGGAGTGAGAGGCTTGCGGTGAGCGGCGGCGCGGGGTAGTGGTTGTAGTGGCTGCCTGGCTTGCTGGTATGTATGGACTTTACAAGCTGAGGCGGCAAGGTGGTTCCCTTTGCACTGAGCGCTGCCTGGGCCGAGTGATTCACCCCTCGATGCGTGGCAGCTTGATAGATAATAAAGCAGAGAGGATCGCGCGCGATACTACTGCTACTACCAACTACTACTGCTTCTACCAATAGTACTGGTAGTCCTGGTACTACAAGTGCTACTACTACTACGGCCGCACCATACAGCCCACCTGGCTAGGAGGAGGTGGGCCATACGTGGATTGATTGATTGGACGAGAGAAGAGTGACGGCGCGCGCTGCCCTCACAGCCCACAGAGGGCTTCGTTCGTCTCTCTCCCTTAATTTTAGGCTGGTCGTCTGCCACAGTCTCGACATGTGCGCTTCTGCAGCCACACCTGGGCATCTTGCCAGTCAGCCCACCAGCTCTCATCTTCGCCAGCGATCCAGCCCCCACTGGCCAAGTGTGTGCAGTTCGATTGCGGACACAGGAAGCGGAGAGAGCGGCCATGTCAGTTCACATCCGAGCCAATAAGGCAACTGAAATAATGCCGCAAGCGGAAAGCCAGACAAAGTTGGTCAGGGAGCAATCGAATGGCGGCCAGCCCACTGCGTCTGCTGAGGCCAGGTTCGCGCGTGAGTCCTGTGTATTCATTGCTGTCTGGCGGCATAGCGCCAGCGTGCTCCCACGTCTCAAGGCTCCTCCACCCCTTCCACCTTCCGCGGTTGGAGCTTCAATCCCGAGTTCCGCATGTGTACGGCGGGCCACATTTTGTCGGAGTGCTTGCCATCCGTCTGGATTGGAAGTCCAAGGGAAGGTGGTGGTTAACTCCGTCGAGTCAAGCGACAGCCGAGACCCTTGATGTATTTCTTCATATTTACAAAGGGGTGGTCGCGCACTTTGGGAAACATAACCTGCCTTGCTTGCGCACACTCAGCTGGCCCGCGAACCGCTGCGCTACCTGACCATGTCTTCCCAACCCGCGTCGGCGGCCATCCTGGCGGAACGTAATGAGGCCGCACGCTGGGTCGCGCAGATCCAGAGCGAGGAGAGCCAGCTGATCTTCGACTCGTTCACACCGGAGATCGCCTTCGAGCTCGGCTCGCAGATCCGGCAGGACTACCTCGCGCAGTACCACCCGCGCGGCGTGCCCTCCGCCTTTGACGCCATCACCGGCGCGACGAACGGCCCAATCGCCAACGCAGAGACCGGCATCGTCATTTCGGTACAGACGCTCGCCGGCCACAGCCTCTTCTCCTGCGCAGCGGGCCACCCGCGCGCGACTTCCGCTGATAACTGGTCCTGGGTCGCTACCAAGGTCGCCACCGTCCGGCGCTTCGGCCGCTCGTCATTCCTCGTCGGCCGCAAGCGTGTCGCAGCTGGCATGCCTCTCGACGGCGGCCTCGACACCAAGGAGTACGCAGCGCACGGCGGCGCAGTGCCCATCCATGTCGCTGGTAACGGCTCGGGCCCCGTTGCCGTCGCCGTTGTCAGCGGTCTCAAGCAGGAGGAGGACCACCGACTCGTCGTCGACGCCCTTCGGAAAGTCATCGCCAAGCAGCAGCTTGCAGCCCCTCGTACCGCTGGACGTTTGTCCCTCGTCAAGAAGCAGCTCATCGTGTTTGACTTTGATTGGTGCGTGGAAAAGCAGGACAATGTCGCTTGCAGACGCAGTCTGACGTGTGGAATTGCCTGCATACTTTGACCAACAGGTCGCTCGCGGACCAGGACACGGACCGTTGGGTGCACGAGGCGCTTGCCCCTCATCTCCGGCGGAGGATGAAGTCGCTCAAGCCGCATATGCAGTTCACTGATCTTTGGTGGGTCGTCTTTCATGTTGAAAGCACACTGTAGCAGGAATAGACGGCTGACCGCGGGGGGAAATCACACATTAGCGCTATGATGCTGCGCGAACTCCACGCCGAGGGCAAGACACCGGAACAAATCAAGGATGCTATGCGAGCCCTGCCATTCGTGAGTGTGACACCGCAGGCCATTTGGAAAGATGCAATCGGAGCATCTCAGATTCGCATTGCTTACATTTCACTTTCGGCTCTCTCGTCAAATCCGGACAGCACCCGGGCATGGTACGTGGCGTGAAGGCGCTTAAGGCGAGCAAGCTAGTAGACACGACGTTCTTCCTCTTGTCCAACTCGAACACGGTCTATATCGACACGATCCTGACCGAGCAGGGCCTGCAACCGCCGACCGGGCCGCAGATCTTTACGGAGATCGTGACGAACCCTGCGCGCTTCCTCCCGAGCGGGCTGCTGGAACTGAAGCGCCGCGTGCCTGCTCCCGGCGAGCCGGGCAGCCGCGAGCACGGCTGCGCGGTCGGCTGCTCGGCGAATATGTGCAAGGGCGAAGAGCTGGACGCGTTCATTGCGCGGCACGGCGGGCGGCAGGCGTTCGAGCGGATTATCTACGTTGGTGACGGTGGCAACGACTTCTGCCCCGTCCTGCGCCTCGGCGCGCAGGATGTTGCGTTCGTACGCCTGCACAGGGGCCTGCAGAAGCGCATCCTCAGCGAGGGAGGCATCCAGGCCGCTATCAGGTGGTGGGCCGGCGCATGGGAGATGGAGGGCCTGCTCGGCGAGCTGCACGGCGTTGATCCCACCGCTGAGCCGGCGGGGCGCCAGGAACATTAAGTAAAGACTGGGGGCAATCTGCCGCTGCAAAACGCGGCAAGACGATGCCTCCATACTGGATGATTTCATAGAGAAGGGGGCGGCAGGGGAGCAGTCTTTTATCTGCATCAAATCCTCTTCACACGCGCTACCTTTTCGCTCTCGGTCTTCTCCGTTATATATTCCAGGCAGCGAATGACAGACCATGCAAGGGAGCGCAGCGCTGCAGCGAGAAGCATGAAACTCGCGATGGGGGTGTGGCGGATGAGGACTTTGACGCTACCTACATGTGGACCTGTACCCAGATGGCAGCACGTGGACAGTGGGCCACGTAGCGGCGAGTATAGATGGTGTATTGGGGATGCGTGGCATAAAGAGGACTATAAATGAGATGTTGGACGTCGAGTCGGCCTTTGAAGGTGTCGCGAGAACGCGTGACGGTATGAGACGTACAGGAGACAATGGGTGCTCCGACTTGGGATGAGATTTTGTTGTACTGGTAGCCTGCGCCGGATGGGGATGATGAGGAAGAACTTGGCAGGCCGGATGACGCACCGATTCGGTTGGATAATGTCGAAGCTGCGTATCGCGGGGACATGGCAAGGTATCGATAGGGGAGAGAGTGTGGCTGGTGAGGCAGCCGCTCAGTGTGCCGACCGTGCTCCATAACCGTCGATATGCGGTAACTATTACGAGACAAGCAATGTATACACTCGCGATAAGAAACAGGGTTGCGACGCATCGTCCATTCTCGTTTCGAAGAACTTCTGAGACGCACATGTCGCGTCGGATAGCCAGCGGCACTTGAACACATATGAAAGCGGTATATGTTTCAGGATCTTCGTACTCCATCGCCTCCTCTACAACTTGCATACATACACGTCGCCGCCTTTGGATCGGGTATTGCGAATGGCTCAGGACTTTGCTGAGTGCATTCCCTTTCTTATATGCCGCCCTTCGCAGAGGACACATGTCTAGAAGGCGGCGCTATGTATGTTTGTACGTATGTATGTCCATCCCAAGTGTTGTGCGTCTGGCGGCCAAACCAGGAGCTCGCACAAAGCTCGGACTTCGGAGCCCTCTACCCACCAAAATGGGCGATGAGTTGCAACCTCTCTCCTCTCCTCGGGCGTCTATTACACGTCTGTATCTGCTGAAAACAGGAAAGGACTGTCCCGATGCCATCCATCGATAGATATATGTATGTGCTTGCATCGAGGCCAGCCGCAGTAATCACGGTTCGGATGTGCCTCGGAGGCTCCGCGTTGGCAGCAGTGCGGCGGGAAGACGATGTGGAGCAACCAACGCAAAAGCAAATGCGGGCTTTCCGCGTCCACATCTGCAGCTTTCGGTTCGCTCCAGGCAGCCGGGCGGAGAGCTGCTCGGATTCTGACTCTGGGGGACAGTGGCAGTGGCGAGGGCGTCGAGAAGGCAGGCAGGCATGGATGCGATAATGCATGAGGGCATCTGCTTGATGCAAGTGTCCCGTCTTCGCTCTGCATCCAGAATTCTTTTTGCTCACCGTCACACGCCGATGCTGCTCCTGCTCGAGGGCATCCCTCGCTTTCGCCTTTGTCCCAGACAGCCAGAAGCGTGGCATGTGTAGGAGTTGCATCCTCTCCATTTTGTATATACATGCATTATTCCTTTCTTGTATCTTGTAGGATCACCCACCACCACCACCACCAACCAGGACATACTGGACTCTCTCTTCCCTAGTTCGACAGACGCTGGCCGTCTCTCCCTCCTTTACACCTCTCATTTTGTCGTCGCGGTCAACTTTCGACTTCTCTTCGCCAAGGCCGGTCCTGCGCACCCTCACCTCATTCTCTCCTTCGTCTCTTTTCTTGGAATAGGTTTACCCCTTGGTCCCAACCACTCAACCCATGGCATCATGTCGACCGTCCAAGACAGCCTACACGCCCCTGTCAACTACGGCAGCTACGCGTCAATCCTACTCACTGCGGACGGTGCAAAGGACCAGCAGGTAGACAGCTTGCCCGAGGAGGAGAACCCGACCCTCCGTCGCGCACTCAAGCAGGCCAAAGCCAGGTGCGGACCCGTTGTGCTGATCCAGAAGAGCACCGAGGACGAAGAAGAGGATAGCATCGCCGGCTCCGACGGCGAAGAGTCCATACCCGGGCTCGCCAGCGATAATGCCTCCAGTAGCAGCAGTGACAGCGATAGCGCAAGCGAGCAAGAGCGCACCTCTGGCGCTGTCATCGTGCGCCGTCCCTTCTCCATTATCCACCATGTAGCCGCGTCCGCGCCGGCATACGTGCAGCAGTTCCCTGAAGACGTGCAAGAGAGCGATGAAGACAACGACGACGGTGATCACGGTGAGAATGAGCACCGTACTTCACCGGTCGATGTGGTCGAAAAGTACCGTGCGCTCGTTGTCCAGGACGACCAACAGCTCGGACGCCCGCAACCGGGCAAGACAAACCCCGCACGCTCGAGTACATACTGGACACGCAAGGAGGCCGCCATCCAATGGATCAAGTCACAATGGGCGGCCGCGCAGGAGCAGTTCGTCGACACAGCAGTACCAGCAACCACGCAAACTCAGCCCACCTTCAGCGCTGCCGTTGAGGAACTAATACCAGCACCGTCGGCAGTAGTGAAGGGCCGCCGCGCATCCACCGGGAAGGCGCTTCTATCCTCGCTCTCGGCAGAGGAGCAGAAGAAAGCGATGGAGGAGCGCGCGGCCGCCAGCAGTTGCTCGCTCTCCGCGCGGCGTGCATCACAGCGCAAGACTCCTAAGCGCCTGCCGCCGCTCGAGCATATCTCGTCCCACATCACGTCGATCTGCACTGCGACGCTCAAGGCGCTCCCGTCACCGCCAGCCGCCAGGGTCAGCGGCGCGGCGGTGGCGTCCCCCGGCTCGCCGTCGCTTGGCTGGGCCGCGGCGCTGCGCAGCACGTTGCCGCTATCGGCGGGCACGCTGACGCCCCGCAGCCCGTTGGTGGCCAAGTGCGGACAGATTGAGCTGCGTATCACGCCGCCGACGCCGCGTGCGCCCGGCTTCAGTCGCGCCAAAGTGCACGGCGTCACGCTGCGCCACAGCCTCGCGCCACCGCCAGGATCGGTGCGCTACGTGCCTGGTTCGCCGCGCATGTTTGCGGACCAGCAGACGCTAACGCCCCCGCCCTTCGACGTTGCTCCCGGCCGCAACATCATCATGCAGAAGCGGG